CAAGGTGGCCGGTGACCTGGCGCAGGAGGCCTGCAACCCAATTCTGAGATGCCCCACACGCTTGGACCATTGGGCCCCATGGGGCCTGGCAGATCCTGGCAGGTGGAACGTCAGGCAGACGATTTCCAACGGCTAAAAGAGCGTGCGCTCGAGAGCTTGCTTCGCATGAAGAGGGCCGGAAAGCTGGAAGACCTCGCCGAGGAGATGCGGTGTTCGGCTACTTTCATCCTTACGCTGCACTTGCACTGCGTGCAGCCAGAGTTTTTCGCAATGATCCATGTGTGTGTGTGTGTGTGTGTGTGTGTGTGGCCAGGAGATGCGGCGCGGACGTGGTTCGCCGGCCGGCACTGGCACTGCCGCGGCAGCGCGAAATGCCGATACCGCGGCTCGGAAGCAGCAAGTGCAGTTGCATCGAGACCTGCAACGTCACGGCAGCGGATTCCAGCTGAGGAGGGCCGCTCTTCGCTCTCTGCGAAGCAGCGGGCACTTCAGAGCCTGCTGGAGATGAAGCGCTCGGGGGAGCTGCAGTTCCTGGCTGAGGAGATGGAGTCCGCACAGCGGAAGTTCGAAGCCAAAGCGGCCCAGTTTCGGGAGATCTCTGCACGGATGCGGCGTGGCGTGGTCAATGCCATGCGGTCCGGCGAGCTGGAGCGCCTGGTTGGCGAGATGACCGAGGTCTTGGAGACACAGGCCTTCGCCTTGGGCCCGGCAGTTGTCCCTTGGGAGCTTCCCCTTGCGCCCTCCTTGAAGGCAGAGAGCATCCGAACTCGGGTTCGCAAAGGTGCCCGAGCTTGAAACCCGCGGCATTGCAGGTCATGGCAGTGACAAATCTTCTTTTCATGGCAGGCCTGCTGCGGGCGCATCGGCGGGGAGAGCTGGAGGATCTGCGCCAGGACCTTCTGGGGACTCTGGTTTTTCGTTTGCTCCTGCACCTGGATCGGCTCAAAGTCCGGTTGACTCGAGGAGCTAGACGAGCTAGCCGACGAGGTTCCTTCAATGCGCACCACTCATCCGGGGAAGAAGTGGCATGAGATCAGCCGCTCGATGCAAGCAAACTTGCCTTGCCAAGTCTAGATTCTGAACCAGGGATGCCGGAAACACGGATTTTTCGTTGGCCTCAGGCAGCGACTCTGATCTCGATGTGCGGCACCGGAGTGGTAGCGAGTTCCGCGAGGAAGAGCTCTCCGAAAGCAACGAGGAGACAACAAAAATGCAGAATGCAATCAGTCAGAGAGAGGTGAGCCAGAAAGACGGAAAGCATGCGGCAAGACGTTTCGTTTGGTGCTCGCTGTGCGAGGAGGGCAGCGATGCAGATGCTGGAGCTGCCGCAGGTGCCATGAGCAGCTGGCAGGCTCCGCGAATCCGGTTTCGATCTGAATCTCCTGCTGCCTGCTTCGTGCTGCCAGGCCGCTGCCATGAAGCCAAGGAAACGCTGGGCGGACATGACAACCAGCAGCGACTCAGGCGGGGCGCTTGCGGCAGCTCCGTGCCCTGAACTGTTGCGTGCCGCGCTGTCTCTCTGGGTTCTTCAGACCTGGATCCGGGCGCCGTTGGACATGCTGGACAACAGGCAACCCGCCAAACCTAGAGCCCAGGTCCAGGTGAGTGATCACCCGCACGCACGTGCGTCGACCGCGCAAACTCAGGCACGGCGCTTGCCAGCCAAGGCTGGGTGGTGAAAGGGGCTGCAGTCCTGTTCTGGCTCTGCGGGGCCTTGCCCTCTTAGATTCGTGATCGGATCAAAGAGTCACTTGCAAGACAGGCAGCCACGCCCAGCCAGTGTCACAGCAGCAGTTGGTACGAGAGCGGCGGCATTTTCAAAGGCAGCTTCACGAGTGCGTGACGGCGCGCTTCATGACGGGGGGTCGCTGAGGCCGGCTGAGGATCCAGCGGCTGACCCGCAGGAAGACGAAAAAAGATGGGCTCCGGGTCGGGGCGGGTCCTGGCGGGTCCTGTAGGCTCTTTGGGCCATTACCATGCCGGACTCACTGTTTTAGTTCCGAGTTGCAGGTAGCTTTCCACGTGGGGAACACCACCATGCTTTTTGTGAATGCCCACCTCGCAGCACATGCCAACAAGATGAAGGCTGCCAAGAGCAGCCAGTCCCATTGTTTCCGTATGTATAGTTGATCAGTGTGCAAAGGTGCGTACGCAGAACCTGCAACGCATCCTGACAGACTCGCCGCTGAGAAAGCGGAAGGAATGGCTTCGCCAGCCTGCATAGCCCTGTGAGCACACCGGTCTTTTGCAGGATTCGAATGGCGTCCACGAGGAATACGACCGCGTGTTCGTGATGGACTGCTGAGAGATGTCATGCAGTGAGGGTGAACCTAGAGGTGCTGCCACTTGTTTGTTCTGGATTGCTAAAGCAGGGCGATCTCAACACGCGTGTGGATGCCAGCAGAGCTCAAGTGGACGAGTGGATTACAGAGAAGTGGCAGCCTTAGTTCGCAACGGTACTGACATCCGTGCGCATACCATCCTTCCCAGGCAGTTCGACAAGTGCCTGGCAAAGGACCAGCTGTTGCCCCTCTTGAGGGGCAATCCAGGCCAGGCTTCGCACAATGCGGACAAATCTGATGCTTGAGCAGCAGACACATGAAGATATCAGCACACGACAGTCAGGGCAAGAACGACACTTGAGCATACCTGAACAGGTCGAGGTTTTTCATTCCACTCTCAGCCTGCAGTTCACTGATTCGATCTGTGCGACCAGCCAATGTGGCACAGCAGAACTTGCAGAACCCTTTTGCCGAGCATTCCCAGCGAGTGCGTCCACCTGCGACGCTTGTGCCAGCATCGATCAATAAACGGGCAGACTTCAAGCTTATAATTTCGTGCTGGGCAAGGTTTTCCGGCCCGTGTGCATGTTCCAAAAAGGAGCATCGTGACCGTGCCACGAACTAACACAAGAGCACTGACATGACATGTATACTGATACAGGAATCGGAGTCATCGAAGTCCCAAAAGCGATGCTCTCTTTGCTGCCTGCGCGGGCTACGAGAGATGAACCAGAGTGACTTTCGCTCATCAGCGTTCGTGTTCCCCATGCCAGGTTTAAGGGATGAAAAGTGGCATTTCCATACTAAGGCATGCGAACATGCTCCGCCTTCAAATCGACTAGCCTTCGAAACCCCAGCGAAACGCGGTGTTGTACGGCTTCTGGTCTCCGAGGGACGGTACACGCCGAAGTGACATGACTTGTTGCCCGCCGGCTCTAACGTCTCGCAAGGCAGCGGCTCTGTCGGATTCTGGCCAGAGTTTGAGGAGGCATCGGCAGTGACGAAGCAGAGTAACTACGGAGCGATGAAAGAAGTTGTGCATTTTGCCAGGCAGCGATCAACTTTCCGCCCACTTACAAGTTCGACAAGCACTCGGCATGAAGCTCAGGTCGTGGTAACCTAACACTCGCGGTTTGATAATGACTTCGTGTTGAAGGGCTGCCTCTCCTGTCGGATTCTGCAAGTCTCGTTTCCTCACCTCTTGACATTCGCGCATGCTTCTTGAACCGCAGTGCAGTCAGCAGGGACACATGGCAAGTTCAGGATATCTACGATTCTTCCAAGAAGCAGCGGGTACCGAGTTGGACGGACAGAGATGGGAGACGGGATGTGATGTGCCATTGGATTCCTCTCACAGTCGCTCGCAGTGCCCTCTCTTGCTGCAACATAATTACGCGGGATGAGAAGCCAGGACCGGATTTTGTGGCGTCGTGATCCGCATATCAAGTCTCTGGCTTATGACTCCGTGACCTTGCAACCGCGACATGTAGTGACATGTATTTCCGAGTGGCAGCCCTGCATAGCAGATCCGTTCCGGGTGCAGGTACCTTGTCTGCAATGCTCGGACCACCGTCCCGTGTTTGCCCAGTTCGAGGCCTGTTTGGGCCGCTAGGGCCGCCGGGCATTCGGGCTGGAAATTCAAGACAGGTGATGGTGGACGTTGAAGACTGGTCAGGGCCACCTGCGCCAGACCCAAGCAGGACATGCTCAAAAGTTGATGCAAAGGGTTGATGGGCGCCCGTTGCCGGAAAGTTCTTGCGTAAGCTTTCATTCTGGGTGTTAGGATGGAGAGACTGGTTTTGAGCAATGCAAGTCAGATCGCCGCAATATCTTTGCCTAGAAGAAGGCAAACCGTTCTGCTTGGCTGCTTGACTCGACAGCAGTGGAATGCTCTTCTTAGAGTTGAAGATAATCGCATTTGACCTGACAGGAAGAGCTCTGTGTGCTGTGTGCAATGAGGGGGCCGTTTCACGGGTGCTCTTGCGGCAAAAGCGCAGCCCCAGGTTCTTCGCTCCGAAGGAGCGAAGGAGATGACGCCAACTTGCACATTGGCACCTTCGTCTTTTTTTGTCGAATTTCAACTCCGAGGCTTCGAGAGAAGCCTCCGTCAATGCACCTTGGAGGCCCGTAACAGGAGAAAAGGGTTCTTGGGGATTTTTAGTGCCGCCGGGCCTCCAACAGTGAATCGGCGTGACAGCTGCACCCCAGCTCATGACTTGGTCGGATACCATTTGGCGACTGCTTGACGGCAAGTGTCACGCCGTGCCTCGGAAGACAGAGGCCTTCCCGGTAACGCAACAGAATTCATTTTGCCTGACTCTTCCTGTCGTTGCCTTCCACTTCATAAACAGATCCAGCAGAGAGCAAACTGTTCATACTGATAAAGTCCTGGCACCTGGAGGGCATCGAGGGACCATTCGCTGCTCCTGCTGTTGCCACGCAGAGCGAAAACAACCGAATCTATGGTGATGCATGTGTGATCATCTACTTGCTCAAAGCGTCACGCGATGCAGACGCATCACAGCTCTGATGCATGTTGGTTTGTGAGATCTGCTCGTTCCAGAAGAGATAGCTAGATTGGCATAGCCGGCCACATGGGCAGCTAGATTACACGATTACACATCACAGCGCAGCTCTCCAACACTTGCATGTGCCACTACACTACTGCAAGCTCCGCTCAGCCGCAGCTCGCCAACTCGCAGCCCTTGTACATAGCAGATGGACGGAATACCCGTCTTGGGCATCGAGGTGTTGGGTCCGGAGAGGCGGACACCTGTCGAGGTTGTGCGGCAGCTCCGTGCGTCGCAGCCCTCATCACATGCGTCACAGGGGGCGCTACCAGTACAGCGCGAGCCGCTCGAGCCTCCGCAGTCGTTGTTGCGCCGAACCGCAGAGACAGGGCGGTCATCTGGATCCTCGAAATCCCGATCGCTGTCGCCATCCCGAAGACTCCCAGCACCCGGCGAGGTCCCATGGCAGAAGTTCTGGAACACCAAGTATGCCCCACGGGATCATGGCCATCGCCAAAGGAGTCGAAGGCAAGCCTCGGCTCGGGCATCAAGCCGGAGTCCTTCCACGCGGCCATCCAGCCCACTGATGGTAGACAGTCGGTCGGCGTCAATGAACGAACGGCGACGCCCAGCAGAGCTTCAGTCACAGGAGAAGGCGCCACAATCGCGTGACTTCTCGCCATACTCGCCTCTGTTCAGAGTCTCCTGGGATCCCTCCACAGGACAGCTCCCATCTCAGCACGCCTTAACACCTGTAGAGAAGCAGACAGCTTTGTGACTTAACTCTCTTCCTGCGTGATGGCTCTGCATGAGGGCAGCAGAAGGAGGTATCTTTGTGTTGTGCTTTCTCGTTGAGAGGCAGATATCCTTCGGTGATGGAGCCAGCTAACACAACAACGGCCGGGCAACGTGCCACGCAGCTAGGACCTAGCTAGACATACCGGTATCGCGGCACCAAAAACGGAGCAGCCGGGCTGCAAGGGCTTCGCCATGCTGCATCCTGCGATAGCTCGACACCATCAGCTGCAGCAAGATCTGAAGACAAACACTCCAGCAAAGACCGGAACGTGCACAACCCTGAGACAGCATGGATTCCCAGCGGAGACCGGAAATGATAACGCCTGTGCACACATTGATTTACATCTTCTCGGTGGGAAATGTGGCCCGGCCCATGATCGAAGGTTGTCGGCCCTCGAAGAGGAATTGTGAAGGCAACACGCCACGTGGTGCAATAGAAGACAGTATGGAGTTTGGGTGGCCGGTTGTACCGAACTGACGCCGATCTTTCGGTGTGGCAGTGAGTCAGGCTGGTCGAGGTAGATCGGCGTTTCGCCAAGACAAACACGGGACACCTCGGGCGACCATCTGAACCCCATGCGGAGGAACTGTTTCTGGGAAAACAGGCTTAGGTGTCAGCTGGGTCGGCGGGGTTCCACACATTCAATGCAGCAGGACGTCGGCAGTTCGCTCCCTCCGAGCGGCTTCACAACGATGCGCGCTCGGCGCTCAGCAAAGTGCTCCTGGCGGCTGCCGCCAGAGGCCTGACGAAACGGCTTCACAAAGTATTCGGATCATTTGCGTTTGCATCTCGATGCCTTGGTCCAGGAGATGCTGTGCAAGTTTCGGGCGTGCTTGAGCACGCTGCAGAGAGGGAGCTCTTCGAAGGTGATGTTTCACAGATTTCTGTGTCTGAGCTCATGGAAGCCCGGGAGCAGAAGGGCTGTACGCCACTTCATTGTGCTGCCAAGCATGGACATGCAGAGGCAGGGCGGCAGAGCGGCAGGGCTCAGGAGTCACACGACGCAGCCAGCGTGCTTATGCTTGAAGGTCTGTGCCCTGCTCTTGAAGCGCCGCGCGGACGTCCGCGCCGTGGAAGGCGGGACAGAGCCCAGTGGCTGAGCGGAGCAGAGGCAGAGGGAGCTCTGAATCGCCTTCAGACCACGGTGCCGCGCCCCTGGCCCTGGCGGCTTTGCATGGGCACCGGAACGCAGTGCGCAGCCTCCTGCAGCACCGGGCGCATCCGCTCGCCAGCGATGAGAAGGGGCGGCAGCTTGGGATGCCACGAGTATGGAGATGAATCCAGGCTTTCGGAAGTCCAGAGTTCAGCCAAGGAATGCCTTCCACCTGGCCGCTCGATTGGATGTGCCTCGCCTGGCTTCTTTTCTGGCTGTGAAAGCTGAGGCATGCTGCAACGACATCGAAACCGTCCGCATCCTTTTGCAGACCTGCCCGGGCATCGAGCTGCTGAAGGCCGAGCAATGACAACGTTTAGTCGCGGGTGCCGAATTCTGAAGCTGTGCAGAGCATATACAGAATATGCGTGCCAGGATGCACAGCAGCGCAACGCTCTCTACTATGCTATGGGCAATCCAACCGAGAAGTCGAGATGGGAAATTCTCCGCTTGCTGCTGGACAGAGGGTGTAGTGCCAGTGAGGCAGGGACAGGGACTCGCAAGGTCAGGCATTGGGACGTCGCCCTCTGCCACTATTTGTCGAAGGTAGATTCTTTCGGCCGACCTGCGCTGTACTACGCAGTGCAAGCAGGCCGGAGTCCCGGGTATGCTGGGAGTCGCCGGGGTGTCGCATCCACAGTCGCACAAGGGGCCCTGGACGTCGCCGCGATGCTCCTGCAGGCGGTGGACCTGGAGCAACTCAGGCTGGACTCAAACCTTGAAGCCACCATGCTCTCGACTCTAGCCAGCAGCTTCCTCCTCCATCTGTCTCTTCTTGAAGGCCGTCATGGCTGGACAGTGGAACAGGTGCAACGGCGAATGCGCCAGCGAAGCCAAGCTCCGCAGAGAAACCAGCGTCAAAAGCAACTTCCCTGCCCGACCAAAGCAACTCACAGGCAGAAATTGCACCTTCCGGTAAGGGAAGGCCGACTCCTGCAGGGGCAGATTCCGAAGCATATGCCATAGCAGCAAAGGCCTTGTGGAAAGCCGCGGATCAGAGCAAGGCACTGGCAGAAACGACACCAGTCCAAGAAAGGAAACCGGCGGCTCCGGAGGCAGATGCCGACACAGACGCAACGAGAGCACGGGCCGGAACGGCGCCCGCCCAAGAAAAGAAACCGGCTCCTGCCGAGGCAGATGCCGACGCGTTCGCCGCAGCAGCGCAGGCATTGTGGAAAGCCGCTGATCAGAGCAGGGCACAGGCCGGAACGGCGCCTGCTCAAGAAAGGAAACCAGCTCCTCCTGAGGCAGATGCCGATGCGTATGCCACAGCCGCGAAGGCCTTGTGGAAAGCCGCTGATCAGAGCAGAGCACAGGCACCCGCCGAAGAAAGGAAACCAGTTCTTGCGGAAGCAGAGGCCGTTGCATATGCCACAGCAGCAGAGGCACTGTGGAAGGCCGCTGATCAGAGCAAAGCGCAGGCGGCGAAATCAGGAGAAGAGAGAAAGACGGAATTGGCTGCAGAAACAGATTCTGCCACGAATCCAAAGCCAACGCCTTCCGACTCCGTCGCGGAAAGAAGTACGGCTGAGACAGCGAAAGCGCGGACTGCAAGCAAGGCAGACAGTTCCGCTCTTCCCGCTTCGGTGCCAGTGGCAAGCACCAATGAGACACCGCGAAGCTACGTGGATCCTCTGCCTGCTGCAGAATCTGCACCTCAGCATTTCATGGCTCGTTGACTCGTTGGGTTGGAGTGAGCGGGGCTTCCGACGCCCAGGCGTGTCGCTTGGGAAAAGATCCAGCTGCCACTGTTGCGAGCGACCTGAAGGTGGCACAGCCGAAGTCCTGCCTGGAGTCCCGAACTCCCGCCTCGAGAGTTCTCCAGGCCTTGGTGCAGAAGCACACCTTCCTGAATCCGGCAACGGCCAAGTGCCGGCACCCGCTCCATTGCTGGGTGAGCCGCTGCGCACAGGCCGGCCTGGCGGCCGGCTTTTCGCTTTGCCGCTTTTGTCCTTCGGCCTTCGGTCGGTCTGAGTGCAGGTTTTGCTGAGCGACCCTGTGGAAGCGCAGGTGCGAAGGGTTTGCGAAGCTAAAGACGCGGGTTTTGAGGCATGCTATGCAGAGTGTGCCTCAGGCTTGCCTTGCACGGATAACCCGCGGTGGCTCAGCAGCATGAGTCGCGCACCTCACGAGCTCCCGGTGCACAGCAGGCTCGCGCATTTGACGATAGTTGGTGAGTTGGTGTCGGTGAGGTCTTGATCTTGATCGAAATCGCATCGACACAGCCTTCCGCCGCTTCGACGTGGACCGGTGTGGGACCCAACCTCCACAGTTCGACGCACGAAGATGTAGGCTCCCAAACTGCGACCGGTGGAAGCGAGGTCAGATCATTTGGATGACGGAGAGCTCGCACGCCTGGCAGCTTATCTTGGCTTCGATGTGGACCCGACGGAGTTGGACCATGACGAAAATGGCACCGGCCCCGGTAGCTCGGTTACTTGATCGAGTCCAGCCCAGTCCCGGCAAGGCAGCATCAGCTTGGACGAGTTCCAAGACTTTGTTGGCCGCATGGGGGGCGAGCCTTGAACTGCATTGCGAAACCTGCGACGAACGTACATGAAGTGAGCCGCGACGTAGCAGCTTCGGGGGGGTAGAGGAACTTGATTGCGAAGACCTCTTCAGACAGAGAGAGAGAGAGATCGCGCTACCCCTTCGCCATAGCCCTGCGAAAGAAAGAAAGATCGCGCATGCGAACCCAAACGCTGTGCAAGCAAGCAAGAGATCGCACATGGGAGGAGCACTGTAAGTTGGCCGAAAGACTGAGTTCAAAGTCGGGAGCTCCGATGGCAGCGACACACCAAGCCACTCAGCCAACGCAGAAGGGGAACCCAAGCCACCACTGAACCAGAAGCCAGTTGCACGACTTGGCAAAGGAAGTGGATTGGGGGACAAGCGACAGCGAAGCCAACAGTGGCCGTGACGCTACCCAGCTCCCTGGAGACGGACCGGACCAGCCTACAACAGAGGAGCCGACAGGACCCGTCAAGTGAAGTGAGGGGCGCGTGGAAAAGTTCTGAGGGGAAGGTGCGATGCAATAGGACAGTACTTACCTAGGTCCCGTTGTCGGTTCATGCAGGCTGTTCCTACAGGTCCTACATCTAGCTTGCAGTGTCAAGCTTGGGCCTAATTCTGACGGGCCGCAGAGCCAGACACCGCCACATACTGCCACGGGAGCCACATGCCTCCGTTTTAGCTGCACTCTTGCCAAACGCTCGGCTTTCCATACCGGGATGCTGCCACCAGTTCGTATGACTTTGACAGGGGGACACTCGTAACAGCCTAGCCCTCCTTCCTGTGTACGTGAAATTACGTGAGCGTTGTGTTGCTGTAAGGGAACACATGGAAGGGGGGACCGAAGGCTTTTTACTTCCCACTAGGATGGGGAACCCACAAGTTCTTGTGATCAGCATGCTTGAGTGTTGTTTCGAGTCGGGGGAACTGCGCAAGTTAGGCGTTGCTGAATCAATACTCAACACTCGTGATTGGCACGGTTGGTGGGATGTTGTTTCGTTGACAGGGGCGGGAGAACCAAACAACTAGTAACACATTTTTTGTCGGAAGGCCTCACCAGCAATGATTACCATATGTGTTGTTGCCGCGTTACTACTTTTGTTAGGCACTTAGCTTTTCGTTCGCTATGGTTAGGGAGGTGACGGCCAGACATACTAGTAGGAATTACCGGAGGGGATGCGTTTGTCGAGGGACGTAGGATTTGCCTTCGCGGGCGCGGAGACGAGGCCGGGAGGTGCGATAAAGTTCCAGAAACCCCAAAGCCAAAAGCCTCTTCCGCCGATAAACGGGAAAGGGGGGGCCCTTGGCCCGGGTCTGCGTGAGCAGACTCATCCCCAGTGCAAGGAAGGAAGGAAGAGAGATCGCGCGGACTTTTCTCCGTAAAAAGGAAGGAAGGAAGAAAGAGAGATGCATGGCGGCCACACCGCGCCGGAGAGTTCTGGAGCTAAGGTGCAGCGGCTTTTCGAGCAGCGCCGGCAGCAGGTCTCGGTGCAGGGTGGGGCTGAGCACACACGCCTGCTGCAGGCTGCTGTTCTTTTGTGCAGGTGGCGAGCCTGCGGAGGGATGCCACGAGCCTGGCCGGCGTGGCCGTTGGAGCGCGGGTGCGGAGTCACTTCTATGTCGCCGGGACAGCACATGCACGTTCAAACGCCTGCAGTGCTTCTCCCCTGCGCTCCCCGGGCTCAGGCGGGCACAAAGCCTCATCGCACAAAGTCTGAAGAGCCGGAAGAGGCGATAGTCATCGGGGTGCACTTCAAGGGAGAGGAAGACATCGCCTGCCCCTCTCAGCTGGAGGTGCAGCTAGAGTTCTTGAGGCACGGCCAAAACCGACGAAAAATCACAAGAGGCCCTACTGGACCATACTAAACCGGACTAAGACCATCATGCTCCGTGCTCGTGGAAGTAAACTTAGCTGGACCCCAGGAGCAGCCGCAAGACCTGCGTTCCAGCGCACTGGGTGGTGAGCACGGAAGAGGACGCCGAGGTGGCGGCAGCCCTGCGGGAGGCGCAGGGGCATCGCCCTGAAAAGACACTCTGCAAGCTCAGACTGCGGTCCGGTTCCGCGATCCGCGGTAGGTGGGCATCCACGAGGAGGACCAGGGTTTCTGGGACTCCATTTACCCCGCTTCCGAGATGCGCGAGGCGAGGCACGGACTTGGCTCAGGCCTGCGTTTCCTCCAGCGCTCGCAGGTGTGCCGTCTGACGAGCTGCCAGCGCCGTGCCGTGGCACAGGTTCGAGCACATGCCACAGCCAGCCACGAGGAGCGCAGCCCCTCTGCCCCTCTCTCTCGCGACGCCAGCAAAGCCTGAAAGCCTGTCCTGTGAGGATGCCGAGAAAAGAGTGCTGGCTCGCTTCGAGGAGATGGGATTCAGCGACAAGGAGTTGCAGGCAGACTCGTCGTTTCTTGCAGCTTCTCCCGGTCGGAGAATGGTCTGCTACAGGCGGTTCTGAGCTGGATACAAGACCTCGCTCCTGTCATCATCCATGTCAACATCGACACTGTGGGCCGCTTTCTGGAGTCCGACGAGTATTACAGGACTAGTCTGCTGACCCATGCGCTACGGCGTAGATGCTTCTGCATGTTCTTGCAGGAGCCAGTTTGAGACCAAGACGTCGTATGGAGCCATCGATGAGGGCCACTTGGCGCAGCAATCGGACCAGGATGGCTCTTGTACACTTCCCTGTGGACGCGCAGGGAATCAGACGCGCATTGCGTGGGAGCGGGACCTCTTTGGAGATGCGTATGACGACGCCAAGCCCTTCGAGCGATGCAAGTACGGTGCTCTGAACGTCACTGGCAGCATTAGATCATTAAATGAAAGGAAGTGGGAGAAATTTGACGATGAGAAGGCGTAGGGGACGCTTCGGAGCTAAAGCTCCAAGGGGCCTGGTCTCCTCTGGATCTGTTTTATCTTGAGAGCTACGACCATGACATTCTGAGATCCACACCATGCGACAGCCGAAAAGCTACGACAACTACTCATTGTGGCGTCTCAGAGTGTACGGAGCAGGGTGAAACAAGCAGAGGATGGACTTGAGGGTTTCGACCAGAAACATCGCAGGTTCCAAGTGCATTCGTTCAAGCCTCGGATTGGGTCCGAATGCAGAAGGAACATCAGCACGACGGAATATGACGGAATCAGAGCGATGCCGACCTAAAGTTGTTGCATGGACGCAGCAGCTGCAAGCTTGAGCGAAAACGGACCAGTGCCACAGACCGTGTCTAACTCAGGTCACCAATGACTTCGAAGGTTGCAAGCCCGCCTTCCAATATGGTGACTCCTACCTGGTCCTCAAAGATGTCCGGCTTCGCTGCACCTTCGCCCCTGAGGATTCTGGAGGCATCTCAGGCTCGAGGGAGTCAGAACACAGTTGGGGGTTGGCTGCTGGCCAGTGGCTCGGTCTCCTTTTTCCATTCCCGGTCTCGATCGCAGGATCCCGACTTGCAGTGCTTGACAAGTACGCGCATGTGCCTCGCAACAGGAAGTGGGGAAGTGGCAGGGCCGACCATTCGGGCACTGGAAACCGGGATGCCGAGGTGCTTGAGGAATACGAAGAGGAGGAGATTCGCAAGCTGGTGGATGTGGCCACCGCGCCGCCTGCACGCCCCAGCTCAGAGGCCCCACGGCTACTGCGAGGCACCTTGGGAAAGATCAGTCTGCGATCTCTGTCTGCAGCCTATTGTCTTAAAAGTCTGAGAGGCAGTACGGAAGATCCCACACAGCAGTGGGTGACGTTCGGCTTCCCGCAGCTGAAGCGGAAGAAAGGCAGGACCCTGCGAGAAGTACAATGACAAGTGAGCGCGCGACAGAGAGCAATGGAAAATCGGAAAGAATCGGGAGCCCCACTGCAACGCCCACAAGGATCGTAACGCAGCCAAGTGCTAACGAGACGCAAGTAGGGGCAAACCGAGCAAATAATGCTGATGAAGCTGGTGTCGTGAACGTCGGATTCATGAGGCCTTTTAACGTCAGCTAAGCAGTAGAGCTGATGAGTTCTTCGAAGTTTCTGCCCTTGATCAAGGGGTGCACGCTGACGCAGGGGTGCACCCCCTTCTGGATCTGCATTCTCTCTTCTACCGAAAAGAAAGACAACGACGCGCCCTGTTCCGCTGAAGCTTCAAGAGAGCCACGCACGCTCACGGGGCGGGATTCGATGTGTAACCCCAAAGCCTGACGAGAGAGACAACGACGGCGAGTTCGTACGGCCAAGCCCATCTTTCACAAAGGATGCAGTGTTGTGGCTGTGTGGCATTCGCATCCTGGCGCAGTCCGCAGGCTGTGTTTTCTTCGAGGTGGAGCTGGTTGAGGGCTGCTGTCTGCCCCAGGTCCGGTCGTAGCCTGGAGTGAGAACTTCCCGAGACTCTTTCGATTTATCTCTTGCGCTTCCCCTTCCTGGTGCAGGTTGGTTTGGCCAGCGAGCAATTCCAGTGCTCGCCTGGTGTCCAGTCCAGGTTTGGGGTTGGCGACGATGAGTGCAGCTGTGGGGTTGATGGCATGCACGGTGCCCGCCTTAGATTCCTGAAAGAGTAGGCATCGTTAGTGTTCCTAGCGTAGGCAGCCGGTGTGTTTCACAGTATCCGACTATGCCTCGTCACGTCTCTGAAAGGTGCATGCCTCAAGGGTGGACCGTTCTGTGCCTGGAATGATGTCAGCTGGAAGAAGAAGGAGTCTGAAGCGTACTGGGAGGAGGATGGCCAACAGCTCCTCGCCGAGACCGTCTCCTGGCGGCAGTCATCAGACTCTAAGTCTAAGTGTCCAAGTTGCTCTGTCTTTTCTCCTAGCGGCCTAGCGAGAGTGCAACCTTTCTTCCAAAGTTCCGTGTGCTTCGTCACGGCAAGAAGCCTGAAAAGGTCGTGGTCGGCGTCGTGGTAGACTTTGAGTTGAATGCTGTCTGCTTCGCATCGAACGGGGCGTGGAGCGAACCCTGGAAGCCACAGCTCTCGCAAGAGGACATGCCCTCCTTCTTTGAAGGCCTCTACCCGGCGATCTCGGTGAAGGGTCGTGCCTCCTTCCAGTTTGGCCCAGACTTCAAATGTCCGCCCCCGCTCCTTGGCTCCCGATGTAGGTCCCGGAGGGCAACCTAGGGACGTCGGCGATACACAGAAAAGTTTGTGCAAGGAAGTCCTACAAGTGGGAAAGCTGGCCTGGAGCTGGTCGAGGGCGGATCCCAATTGACTGCCCGGCTGTCGGAGATTCGAGCGTGCTGTCCATCTACAAGGACGCAAAGTCAAGTCCTCGGCGAAAGTCTTTTCGTTCTTGTTTGCAGGGTGCTCCAGTACGTTTGTGCCACCCGAGAGTCCTTTTCAAATCTTGAGTCCCTGTCCACCTGTAGCAAGTCTCACACCCATGGCCGTGGGATCATCGGTAGTAGTGGTCTGGCTACCATGGCATCTGTGGCAAACGTCTGTTTAGCTTTGCCAGGCTTAGGATCGAAGTTAGGTTGTCTGTTTTGGTCGTCCATGCATCTTCCAGTTGCGCCATCATCTGCTTTTGCAAAAGAAGCAGGAAGCCCAGATCCACGGCGAAGTGAGTCTGAAGCGAAACGTGCTTCGCTTGGTTGCTGCACAGAAGTACAAGCAGAAGGCTCGCTGCTGGACCGTACAGGCAGGAGTGGAGAGCGCTGGAGTCGGTGGAGCTCTCGTTAATCTGCAGCCCCAACCGGGCTGTGACAGGTGAGCAATGCGGGCCGCTGCAGCGGCACCTACAAGTGGTCTGGGCGGCACAACAAGCGTTCCTTCTACAGATCACCTTCCGGTGCCATCATCTACTACTGCACGGAGGATTTGAGACTGTCGCTCCCCAGCTTCGAGAATTCCAGCTGTTGCGCTGTGAGGACACGTCGTGGCACATGAACGACAATGCCGACACAGCTGGCTTCGTTTTCCGAGCTCCGGTAGAGGCGGTGCACCTCAGCAGCGCTGGCAACACCGGGCTCCTCTCCGTTGAGCCGCCACGTGGTGGCTGGAAAGCGGCATTGGAGTTCAAAGGCAAAGGGTAGGTCCGGTCCGGTAGGTCCGATATCAGGGAAACCTGCTCCAGGCTGCGTGCGCCGAGATGTTTTCAAGCCAGCCATGCTGGCCTTGGCGGTGCCCGAGGACGAAGTCAATGCTTTAATGCAGGTCCCGCCGATGCATCTGGAGACCTGCCAGGTTGCCTGAAACTCTGTCTTACGGATAATCCGGTCTGCACATTGCTGGTGATGTCTCAGGTACTTTGTGCCCAAGCTGGTAGCGACAAAGACCTCATCTTCCGCAAACATGGAGTGTCTTATTGGCAAGGCTGCAAGTATAGGAGGCGATCGTGCATGTTGTTATCGAATGCGAGGCTTCCTCGTTCAGGGCGGAATGGTCGAAGCTGGCGCTGCGACTTCTTGCGGCGCGTGGAAACGAGCGCTTCCCAAACGCCGCCGAGGCCTGGAACCAGGCCAGGCCGGGTCGGGTCCGCGGGGCCGCGGGGCCGAGAGCGTGTCGCCCGAACATGCGCTGCCTGGGATGCTCTCCGTCGTACCGCGGCATGCGGCTGCGCATGCGGCTGCTGAGGTCGTGCGATCTGCGCAGGCTCAGTTGCTGGAAAGTATCGGCCTGCCTCGATCCACTTCCGTTGCCGGTCGCCTGCACACAGAAAGTGTCAGCTACCGTTTTGTGTGTATGTTTAGATAACCCTTCCCCCCACCATCAAATCCACAGAGCTCGGTGATTGAGGCTGTGATCCGCAGTGAGCAATGTCAAGACACTGAGCAGCGGCAGTGTATCTCTTTGGGACCCAATGCTGCGAAGGCAGCACGGGGATCATGTTCAAGACTTGGGTTCTGCCTACATTGCTCGGTGCTTCAGGAGGCAAGCAATGGCATTGCCGTGCACGTCCTGAGACTCCAAAGCCTCGCGGGCCGAATTTTATGCTCGCGTGTTGAGCAACGCATGCAACGCTTATGGATGAAATAGTAGAGCTCGCGTGCGCCGAGGCACAGATCTCGAGATCCTCCTGACTGAGCCGCGGCTGCCCTGGTGCTCAGCTGGTCCTGGCGCTCGAGCTGTGGCGATGGTGTCAAGCAGCTGCCGCTCGGCTGCGAGTCTCCGAGTCCTGTCCTCGTCACGTCGGGAGGAAGGACCGCCCCGCAGGCTTCCTGAGCTCTTTCGGCCTCCCAGACGTCCCTGGCACCGTCGTCGAGAGGCGCGCGCGCGCGCGCGGGCGGTAACGCAGGAACCGCAAGCGCAGCTCGTGCTTCGGCCAACGCCAAGGATCCATATAGACCCTGCAGTCCTGCAGTTTGCTCACCGAAAGGGGCCCTGGAGCACTTCGCCGTCTCGAGCTGGAGGAGTCTGAGGTCGCCAGGCGGGGGCTACCGGCCACGACCATAATGAGCCGCAGCCGTAGGGCAGTCGATCACCGCCAGGAACGAGATGTTTTGGCCACTTCAGGAGGCTTCCGCAGAGGAGGCGCGGTGCTGCGCTTTCAGGAAGTGCTCCCGATGCGTGGTTCTGCCATGTCATGCCCCTTTGCGTGAGCTGCAGCCCTTTAACAGAGCCAGGGAATCAGCCCAGCCGCTTGCCGCTTGAGCTCCGGTACAAAGCGTAGCTTCCACACTGTGGAGCCATGTGGAGCTGGGTATGGGCATGTGCGGCCTGGCTGATGCCACTCATGTGCACAGCAGGGCCAGCGGTTTCTCTGCAAAATCCAGAGGGACAGGACCGGCATAGGGCTGTCGGTTCTTTTCGACTGCAAGCGAGTTGTCTTTTATCTTTGGCTTGCCATGAGCACAAGTTTGCATAGATGAAGTTCTGGCCTGTTTCTGCATTTTCTCTCGCCAGGAGCTGGTGTTCTTAAGGCTGGCTGTGAGTGCAGCCCTGTTTGGACCTTTCGCGATGGTGGAGAATGAGATGGTCTTCCAAAACCCAGAAGATCGCACCATGGAGGGTCACTGGCTCAGCTCGGTTGCCTGCCTTACTTCCTTCATCTTTCCATTCCTCGTATACTCCTACCGTGTCAGCGTGCACCGCTCTGCGGGATCCCGGGCTGGGCCCTTTTTTTCAGACCAAGCGCCCCACCGCCGTGGCACGTGTGCTCTTGCCATGGTGCACCCAAGGACCAACCAAAAGGAAGCCTTGTGTGGTTTTCGCCCTGCCGCGGTCGGTCCGTGGCGTTTCCTCCGCACGACATCGTGCTCTCGCCATAGTGCGGTGGGCAACTCTTGCTCTCATTGACAAGTGCCGTGCGAAGTTTGCGGGTCGCTCCGTGCCGCTCCGTGCCGCTCCGTGCTCTCGTCGGATTGTTTTGGAGTGGTCTCTCGAGTCCTGAAGGGTGGAGTGGTGCCCGCCCGGACATCACAGGGCGGTTTTGGGAGAGGCATGAGACGGTATGCGGTGTGTCACAATTCGAGCCTTTCTAGCACAGAGAATGTGACCCTTCTTGCTTTCCATGCCTCAGGACGGTTCTCCTTTGCTTTGCCAATGGGAGTGGACGGCCCAGCCATGCCAAGCCGCTTTGCCATGCAGATCGGAGAGAAGCTGATGGAGGGAGAAGTGGTCAACAGATCCAAAGCGCAGCGCGTCTACAGAGAGATCCTGCACCAAGCACGGGATCCGGCTCTCCTGGAGCAGAGCCAGGCCATGGGAGTACTTCAACTTTACATTAATCATTCCCTGCTTTCTCGTAGTTGCACGGGTCAGCATTCTTGCTCTTAGGCTCCGATTTGGGCAGCCAGATCATATACGCACTGCAATCCGTAGTCCTCAGATGTCTGCTTCTTGAGACATCAGCCCTCTTCGACAAGTTGGTCCAACGTCCCACTACACTGCAAGGAATGAACAACGCTGCACTGTTTGCGGGATTCTGTAGGACATTGTAGATCTTGATCTGCTCCTGCACCAAGTATATGAGTCAACAAGAATCGAACACCACTTCATGGGCCACCGTGCATTGAAATCCCTCCGTGCATTCAGAACACATGAACTCTGATGGATGCTCATCCGGCAAGATTTGTCAGGGCAACATCTTCACGGCGAGAGTGTTTCCCATTGCACCACGCGCTCTGGTACGCTTGGTACTCTCCTACACACTCACGGTTCCATCCAGAAAGACGTATCGCTCGCTGCAGATTCCCATGGCCGGTCTGCCCGAGATAAAGAACCTCACGTTTGTGGCCGTCACGCAGACGTTGGGCGATGGTGTTTTCAGTGCCAACTGCACCCTGCCTGAGGTAGGGCAAGTGAATGGCGTCATGGATGGAGACCTCATGCGTTTTGCACAGGAGATGGGCCCTGTGGTACCTCTCACTGATGCTATTGTCGAGGTTTGGGACCCGAATGTTGCCAGCAAGTCTTTTGCTGTGGGTGATGGGCAGCTGGTGACCTCGTATGTCGTCGGAGATGATGTGGCTGTGTCCACCACCGCACGATTCGAGCCCTCCAGCTGGATAGTTTATGTGGATACATCTGCTTCCACTGCAGATTCTTTCGTTGTAAGAACTCCTCTCATTGCGGCTCTCTTAGATGCCATGCCAGCTGTGGATGTGAGGGTTCTCGCCTTTGATATTGAAGTGGAAGAGCTGTGGCCCCTGGGTCCAAAGACTAGTGCGCTCGGAAGCAGCGTCCGCGCAGCACTTGAGGTGCCGAAGCGGGGTGGAGTCCCGTGGATGTAAACGCAAACGCTTGAATCGAGGGGAGTCAGAGTCGCCCCTGTGAGGCCCGCGGACCGCTTGGAGCGACAGACCTGGAGCTGCTCCTCACGCACATCCAAAGCAACGCTGGCTCGTCCGTGAACGAGACAGTGGGCGTGTTGATTTTGAGCGACTTCATAGCGACGGCCAACGAAAGAGCAGCCATGAAGCGCCTTTGAAGCACCGAGCCTGCCATCTACGGTCAGCAGGGACGGTGGAAGTGTTTGAAAGGCATAGTCCGGCAGGTGCAGACTAGGCCATAGGCACAGGGTCAGCAGGTTGTTGCGTGAGTTGGCATCAAGGCTGGCCCGGCTCCTCGAGACCTCCGGAAATCGCGTGGTCTCCTTGGGCGTCATCGGCGCAAAGTACGATAGCGCCGTCGGACGGGCCGTCGCAGCAGCCGGAGGTGGCCGATCTGTGCAGATTCCATTGACATCCAAAGAAGTGCCCTCTGTCGCTTCAAAAGCCTGGCAAGAACTCACCGAGCCGCTCGGCTTGAATGCCAGCGCAGTGGTTTCGAGTGGTTGGGTTTGGCCAGAGACGTTCTTCGATCTGCAGCTTGGAGATGAAGTCATTGTCTACAGTGGTGGCCAGACGGGCCTGCAAGCGCAAGCGCCAGAGCTCCAGATTGCTGGCAAAACCGTATCCGCCAGTGCTGTTCAGGCCGCAGCAGCATCCTTCGGTTCACTGTTGTCTCGGGAAGCAACGAAGGCACGCTTGGATCTCTTGGAATCGGAGCGCCAGCTTGCACAGAGTGCTGACGCAAGCTCACAGATAGAGTTTCAGATAGTGGAACTCTCCGAGACAAGCCGAGTGATGACGCCTCATACAGCCTTACTTGTGCTGGAAACCGACGAGGACTATGTACGTTACGGAATACCTCAAGATCGCCTTTCCCCCATCTTGGTGGTGACGGCATCGGGAGTTCAGTTGATGTCCCGGTCAACCATCCACCTCCCAGCTCTTCCGGCCCCAATCGCAGATGGGGACCTGCCCAGAGTGCCTCCGAACGAGACGGGCTCGAACAGCTCGAACGATACAGCCTGCGAAGTGTCAGACGCCGCAGCATGTGCCCAGCCCGAAGACATCTTCTCAGCAGATGATGCTGGGGCTCAACTGGGGGAGGGGGATTACGCGAGTAGTTCCTTTGCTGGTGGCGGCACAAGAAGTAGCTTCAGCCTGTTGCTCTGTCTTCTCTTGCTGATTTTGCAGCCCATGCAAGCTGTGGCACAAGCAAAGTGGGCCGACCCAGTGACAGAAGCGGATAGTATCCTCAGCAAACACAGCACGCCTCCAACGGAAAGGAACCGCGATACTGCGTCAAGCTACGCGGGAGCTCTGTGGACAAAGCGCCGCGTGCAGGACTTGCGCAACTTCTGTGCGACATGGATCACCTGGGACCCGACGAACGGTTTGGCTTTCGAATACATGAGCAAGGCAGGGCAGCACCAGGGAGATTCCTCCCTGGCTTTGCGGGCAGCGACGTCCATTGCCGAAGTGAGACCCCGAGACTCAGAGCAGCTCTTGCGAGCCTCCTGGCTGGCGCTCACCTTGGCCTCGGACTCCCCGAAGGCGGCGGCCTATGCCCGACGCTTCGCCCAGAGGTCCCTGGAGGAGCGAAACGACAACGTGAACACCTACCGAGCTCTTGCCATGGCGGCCTGGAAAGAGGAGGACTACACTTTGGCGGCCGAGACCTATGCGAGGGGCCTGGCGACCAGCTTCCATGGGAGGTATGGGGATGTCCAAAGAGTGCTGGAAGAGGAGGCCGCGCTCTTCCTTCGTGCCTTGTATGCCTCCGAGAAAACGAAGCCACTCTTCCAAGAGTTTACCACGGGCGTTCTGAAAACCGTGGACACCCAAAAGGGTGGCAGCATTGGACTCCGGATCACTCTTTCTTGGCTGACAGATGCAAACGACGTGGACTTGCATGTCATCGACCCCGACGGAAACGAATGCTACTATGGGAACAGAAACACCCCCTGGGGTCTGGAGCTTTACAGTGACCAGACCGCTGGCCTCGGGCCCGAGGTCGTGGTTGTAAGCGAGAAAAAAGGCACCTACAAAATCGGTGTGAAGTACTTCAGCAGTGGGGCGATGGGCGCATCCAGGGGTACCGTGATCATTCGGCAGATTGACGGCGGCGTCTCCCGAGATCCCGTGATGGAAGTCTTCACGCTGCCGGCGGGGTTGAGCTCGGTGCTGGAGGTGGCCACCTTCACTGTCAGCTGAGAAGGGGTTCGCAGAAGCATGTTTATGACCACTTAAAAGGGTCTCTTAGTCGAGGGGTATCCGGTCCGTACAGGGAGGCACGGAGTACTCCGGCAACACGACACGTCACGACACTGACATTACGACAAGATTGTTTCCTGTACAGCGGACATCACATGTCCCACATGTCCCGGACATCCCCGAAGATATGCACAACGAAAAGGACAGCTTGCATGGGACAGCCTGGGCCTAACCATTCTTGGCTCGGGACCTTCAGGTTTTGGGCTTCAGGGTAAGGGGGTCTCTCGCTGCCGCTTTGCCTGCTTGCCTGCACGGCTGGGTCCCGAAGAAACAGGTAAGACTCTAATGGAAAAGGGCAGAAGACCTAGATCCTTCTCAGCTAGAAGTTTACGAGCCCTAGATGAACCCAAATGCTGCTTTGAACCCGTCGTGCCGAAACTCACGTTTGACATCTACAGGTGAAGGAGCCGCAAAGCCTCCGTGGAAGGCAGGGGTTACCGAAGTCATGTGGGGTATGCGAGGGCATCTGAACCGGCAACAGCTACAACTGCACCGGGCTCGAAACAGGAACTGGAACCTGGATGGTCTCTGCATGTTTCGGGATGCCATAGGCCCGTCTCTGTCGAGGCGTTTGTCCCTTGCGTTTGCCCAAGCTGGCGAAAGAAGTATTGGTAGTATTAGTAGTATTAGTTGTTGTGTTTGCCGAAGGCCGTAGCGCTCGATTTTCTGAAGTTGCGACCCGAAGGTCGTCTCAAATCAAGACCTGCAAACTTCGCTAGCAATGCTCTAGACCAAACAAGTTGTGGCACAGCTCCGAAAGTCTTCAAGCTGCTTGGCTCCAACATCCCACAACCCTTCCATGATCTCTCTGCAGACCGTAGACCGTGACAGGTGGTGCAGCAGATGCCTGGGCAGCCGCTGCCTTCTCGAAGTGCACTCGACATCTGCCGACGGCGCAGTGACCGCAGAGCTTTGGCTCTCCAGCCTCCCGGCTTCGAAAAGCGCCGGGGCACCTGTACGAGTACGGTGCGCGTGGTGTCGCGTAAAGCTGAGGAGGCGGCCTGCAGTCTCCGCGAAGCTTCAAGGGCTCCTACGATGCCTCCGGCCCGGTCTTTACTTGCCCAATAGGACAGCGCACCTCAACTTGTTCTCGAGGCAGCATCACGGACCTTGAAGGGCTCTGCAAATTCTAGCCAGGAGAGATGTGGCTGTAGCCCCCATCCGCCTCTCTCACGTGCTGTTGAGACAGGATTCCACCGCTTGGAGCGATGGTCTGGAGGAGCGACAGCTTCTGTGCACACCGGCTGCGCACGGAGTGAGAGTCCTCGAGCGGATGCGTCGGAGGAGATTTCGCTGACGCTGTCCGAAAATGGCTTGACGCTCTCCGGACGCGCCGACTCCGAGGCGACTTCGTCATTTTCGTCCCCCCTTGTAAAGCAAAAAAGTCTCTAAGCCTCTGAGCGCTCCTGCTCCTGTTTATCTTGTGCAGGACGTGACGTTTCATCGCCGGACCAGTTTGAAGAGCTACGTGTGGTGTGCCGTTGTGGCAGACCAGCGCGGTGCATGGAGTGCACGTGGAGTCTGCAGACAAAGAGAGCTTGAGATCCTGCAAAGGTGCTGGCAGTGAGAGCTTCGATTCCAAGGACTTCGGGCACGTCTGGGGAGCTGACGTGTCAGGAGAAAAGTGCCCTGAGCGGAGGACAGCCCAGTTTCTCGGCAGGTGGTCCAGTACGGCAAGCAAGAGAAGGCCACCACCATGTTCTCCGACTAAGGTTTTCGTGTCGCTGTGATTTCAGGCCGGCGACGAACTGATTCTGGGGATCTCCAAGGCGTCCCCCCTGGCACCGCTTTTTTTGGAAGCCTTCCTCAAGCCCAGCGGCGCTGCGCAGGCACGCCCAGAGTCATGTAATCATAGAGCTGGGGAAGATTTGGTGCGCTTGTTGAGTTGTTGAGGCTGCTCAGAGCTTAGGCCTAGTTTCGCCCTAGCGTGAGCTTGAGGAGCAAGGCGTGCGACCGGGTTGGTACCTGGCCGTGGCCCTCAGATCGGATCAGAGCCAATCACCGCACTGCAGTGGTCGTTGGCTCAGGACTTGGATGCCACTCTGTTCGGTCCGGCCTCCGAATCGGAGACAATGAAGGCTCCAGTCTCCAGGCATCTCAGTTTTGGGGTTTTGGGATCAACGGCCGCCGCAGGCGATCAAGGCCGAGCTTGGCAGCGATTTCCCAGAAAACTTGGAGGATGCCTACAGGCATTGTGCACATTGCCATTGCATGGAATTGCAGAGGCCAAGGCCAAGGAATGTCACGCTTCCATGTCCTCAGCAGGCAGATTCACACCTTGTACAAGCGCCTTTGCGACTGGCTGGCGAAACCAGGCTTAAGCACGCCTCTCAGCTTCTCAGCATGAAGGTGCAGTACCAGCGCGAACATGTACGCGTTTATCCTAGAAGGGAAAGCCATTCGGGTGGTTATGTTATGCCTTACGAGGGTTTGCCCAGTGCTTCCCTCAAGGGAGTTCAAAAGAGGCCCCAGGCAGACTAGAGTGACCAGGCAAGGCGGCAAGAGGCGACACGGAGAGCCTGGCTTGAGGTCTGGTCTTCTGCAATGCCGTGAAGGCAGAGTTGCTGCCGGCCTGCTTGGTTCGTTTCCTCGGCAGCCCAAGGCACGTGCTGCAGACTATCTATCCCCTCAGTAGCAGTTGCATGACCATGAGCATGTCTTTGCATGTCTGTCCGGCGTAGTGCTTTTTCGAGTAGGCAGCAGCTGGGGGAGATGATGCAAGGCCCACGGGCAGCATTCACACGGACAGGGGTCTGCACTTCAGCTATGCACAGATCGATTCTTGTGTAGACGTGTAGACACAGTTGCCAGATGGCACCCTGACTGGCGACGGACTTCTTCGCAGCAGCCCAGCGCACATTGCGGGAGTTCGTGTGACTTGGCCTGAAGATGCAACTTCCTGGCGCCCGCGTCTTGCCCGCAGCTGAGCAGGGTGGATGGCAGCTCGACGTGCAGAAGAGCGCCCAGCTGGCATCTCTGAACATTGAAAAGGCTTGGCGGTCCATTGCCAGGAGGACAGAAAGTCACTTCCTTGGCTTATGAGGCCAAGGAGACGAGTGAGGCGATTGCCGCAGTTCTGGACGGCGATTCCGAGAGGGTTCTGGCCTTTTCCTGTCCGTCCGGGGACGATGCATGGGAACTGCAGGACAAACTCCTTCAAAGCAACGGTAAGGACCCAACAAATGAATTACAATTCCGTCGCTGCGTAGCAGGAAGGTTCAGATTGGACAGAGCCCTTCCTGATGCCCGGAGCGGACACTGTGGCGATCAGGCGCACGTTCTCCGCGTCCTCTGTGCCTGTAAACCTACCGGAAAATGCAGTGCTCGGCTGATTTGGAGTCTGTTACACTGCATGACAGGATTGAGAGCAGCCCAGGCGAGGCAGAATGAGTGGCGGCTAGTCTTGGCACGATGTGAAACAGCAATGTCTGAGCTGCTTCAACTTTGCAGGGAATTCTGACGAGCAGCACCTGCTCGTGGTAGCAGTTCCCACAGGCCCGGATTTCCAGTCCACCGCCAAGCATGTGGCGGACATAGCTTCGGCTTGTAGAGCACACAGCGGTCACATCATCCACCTCACTCTGCAGCAGTCGCATGTATCGACCAATGAAAAGCTTCGAAGCCGGCCTTTTCAATCTGATGCGGTGGCCGAAGGCGATGAGTTGGCGAAGCCATCGGCAGAGCAGCTGCAGAAGCTTGCGAGCAGCTCCTGCCTCAGCTGTTCGTTTGCCGACACAGAGCAGAGAAATCCACGTTGCCCAAGGCTGGGAAGGAGCTTGTGATGGGTTCTACGGGCTGAAGGGAGAAGAGGCACGATAAGTGTGAGGAAGGTCGATCTCCAGTGCCAGTTCAAACAGTTCTTCTGAAGTTCTGTCTTCGTCGTCCCTGGACCACGCAATCTCTCTAGCTTCTGCACGGCATTGCACGGCTGTGTGTGTCATCTAGCACACCTTGATTGCTTCTATTGCTACCCAGTGTCAAGCAAAGGGCGGGTCGCGACTTGGAGGTGACGGTGGAGAGGGACAGCTGGGATGAAGTGCGACTGAGGGTGCCCTTGCTGAATCAAGGGATGCGCATTCCTAAACCCATCTCTCCTCCAATCTCCGCCCCGCTCTGCGGGTGAGGCCCTCTGCGCCCATCACGGCTGGGACTTCTCATGGCCGCCGCCTCAGAGCTCTGCCGCCCTGCGGTTGGGCCTTTTGCACTGCTCGCGGAGGATGAGCGAAGACGACGAACGCCGGAGGCGCATCGTCGAGGCCAGCCGAGGGGTCGTCGCATCACCCTTCTGTGCGCTTTTCTCCTGCCAGGGCTTCGCCGGCTCTTAGATGAGGGCGGCCACGCCAATTGGCATCTCTCGGATTGCAAATGGGGTGCTCGTCTGATCACAAAGAACTACGCCGCCTGCGCCGGCTCTGGCTGGCTGTACACTAGCTAATGCACTGTTGCTGGAGTTCCAAATTGTGGATGTGCCATGCAATGGGAAAGGTCGACTGCTGTGATGGCTGTGTTGCTTGCCTACCGCTTGAGAGTGCCGCATCCGACGCATCCTTGCCCGCTCTGCCGGTTCCGCAGCGATTGCACGGGATTTTGGCTCGCAGATGATTACCTCAACCGGGCTCGGCACCCCGGGCCGGGCCGTGGCGAGATCCTCAGAGGCAGACCCCGTGACCTGACGTACAGAGAGTCCCACGTTTCAGGTGGTTAACTTGCACCCGGCAGAGCCGGTGCAGCATCATGGGGCTGAGGAGCACCGGGTCCAGTTCCTTTTCGTGGCAGAGCAGATTCTGCACGCAGTAACTGTTTTGCCTGCAGATCGGGGCAAGGACACAGCGACGAAGATGACCTGTGCCGAAGATCCTTCTTTAGAGGTGCTGAGAGTGGAGATGGTAGGGAAGACTTGATGCCGATGCCGAAATGTGTTGTCCGCAGACACATGCAGTTGAGTTGATTTGACAAACCACATCAGACAGGTGACAGGAGGGAATCGACATTCCACGTCATAGACACGGAAGCGACATGGCGCGGCGGGAAATTCGCACATGAATCAAGATGATTCACGAGCCACGCAAAGCTTCACCTCGGCCACGGATTCAGAGCGTCAGAAGATACAGTCCACAAGAAGACTATGGAAATCAGATGTAGGCTTGCGCCGGGCGGAACCTGTCACTTAGATCCACGCGTCCACGACGGCCGGGTCGAAACGTCCGCGATGGCACACGACGAGAGGATGGGCATCCACTGGCATCCACATGCTGTGACAGCACGGTAATCGACTGCAGACACGTGTAGCTATGAAAAGGTCCGCTTGGCACCTGTTGTGAGATAGTGTGCAGCAGGCAGCCTTGACACATGGGTGCAGGCCCCTCTGCCGCGGAAGGATGAGAAAAACACGCAGGCAACACCGATGTGCCCTGGCCACTGAGAGCCAGAGCCTGCACACAGTGTTTGCAGGGTCTCATGGTCATTGACCTGGCCCTTGAGTTGCACAGACGAGCAAAGGCACAAGCGCAGAGAACGTGAGATTCAGAGAGCCGGGTGACGTGGCAGGACTTTGCCATGGCGGGTGATACCCTCCGGGCAAAGGCGTCCGGTGCCCAAGCTTCCATCGTCGTTGCCTCAATGCCTTCCGACGCGCCCGTGAGCCCAAAGGCTTGTTGAAAGTAGTATCGACCAGCTTGTCACCGTCCCGACCTCATTGCACAGCTGCAAGCACTCTCGCAAAAGTCGACCCGTATACGGATACAACTCTACAACTGCCCCACACTGTCCAGAGCTCCAAGGCCAAAGGTTTGGTGCCGGCTGGGCGGATCCTCCAGCTGCTCGATGGTCTGCTCGAGGCAGGGCAGTGAAAGGGCGTCTGCGTCCACTTACGTCCACTTCCGCAGGCCTGGCACACGGAGGGCATCGTCCTGCAGGCTTGGAGAACGGAACGAGGTCTGGCTAGGGCCGCTAGGCCAGGGTCGGCTTGCAAGAGGCCGAGGACCATGACACCGTCGCAGAGCTGGAGAGCTGCGTGGCAGATGCGCTTCGCAAGGCGAACACCAAGCGCTAACAGTACTGGAGCTTGCCCAAGCAATGCTGGAGGTCGCGAAAGCACCGGTAGTAGCGGCAGCAGCAGCAAAGCTAGTGCTGGGAGGCCGGGAGCCAGTTGCGAGGTGCTTTTGGGATCAGGGTCGTCCGGAGTCCGAACCTCCCAGGCTGCGGTACCACACCGAGCACAGCCTCCGATGCAACAACTGCGCGAGGTGCCGCAGTCGTGCTGCAAATGAACCAGGTTCTTGGCAGTACAGCTTGCGTGAGCTAGAGACAGGCCAAAGGTCATTCGCGACATAGGGGCCGCACAAAGTACGATATAGGCCATAATGTTACGTGTCTTGACGTTGTGAGTGAGCATGCAATTTGCTTTGGTTCGCGACTCGAGCTGGCTAGCACGAGATGAGTGCAAGTTGATGCGTGCGTTCGTTTGTCGGAGAAATGAGTGGTCGGTGGCCGCCGGTGGCCGGTAGCGGAGGCGACTGCATTCCGATCGATCCGAAGAGCGGTGGCCTCCTCAACGCGGCGGCTGCTGCAGCAGAAGCCGGAAGCTCAAGCCGAGCAGAGGGTCCCCCGGCCCGGAGCCGCTGCGGTGCTTCCGCCTGCTGCGCCTGCTGCGCCTGCTGCGCCTGAGGCGAGGGTGGTGGATGATGGTGCCAGTGGTGTGGATTGGGATGCAGGCGGTACGCGGCTTGCGGCTTGTTGCTCGGATGATCTGGGAAGATCCAGCCTGAGCAGGCAGTAGCCGCATTTCCTCCCAGCAGCCTACGCCTCTGGGTTCACCCGAGCCTCGGAGTCCACCCTCTGAGTTGGAGGCCAGCCATGCGCTCTGCCGTCGCCAGGGCCAGGGATAGGTCACGGCACGTCCGCAGGTGGCATTGGAGCCTGCAAAGAACCTCCCGCCGAGCAGCAGCCGTATAGAGGATCGTCCCAAAGAAGAGGCCAGCCTGATCCACCTTAAACACAGGTGTGATGTGCCTGCTCATCCTGTTAGGTGCAACATTTGCAGCCCGTGCAGCGCTCAAGAAAATTGGAGTCTTTTTGATGACAGGGCTGCTGTCAGTGATAGCAGAGAAATGAGAGGGAGTTGGAGAAAGCATCTGGATCGGAACATCGTTCATCAGAACCCGAGACATCCTATCATCAGTATCCCCCGCCATCGCTTTCACCTAGAACCTCAATCTTCATTCACCTCTTTGCCCTTGAATCCCTGAACGAACGCACCCTGAACACCCTGTACACCCTGAACCGGGGCGTAGGACGAGGGTACCGGGACATGGGGGACTGGGGTACCAGGCAGGGGAAACCCAACCCCAACCCCCAAAAACACCCAAAATCCCTCACACTCTTTCTGCATCTCCGGACCTTGAGCCAACCATTGTGGCATAGTTTATGGTTAAGCTCAGTGATGACTCGATGTTCGTGTCATCCTTGGGCTTCAAGCATGCGTCTACAAACACTTTTCGTGGCGGAACGGCGGAACGGAGCCGGGCCCGGGCCGTCAGGTCGAGGAGCCGATCCTCTTTGATCGAACTCCAGGAGGAGGAGCGGCGCTGGTTCCCGCCGTGGCCTCAGCATCGCCCCAGACCAGAATCGCTGCACCGGCGCACAACCTGAGGCCGGCATGCCTTCAGAGGTGGTCGCAGCACAGGCACGGCGGGTGCCAATGCGTACCGCGGGATATGCTTTCCGCTTGCAGGCAAAGCGCGGGGTTAGTGCGAAGAGGTGGCCGAAGCGTGAGCTTCTCAGACCATATCTGACACGTTTGTGCATGCTGAAACTGAAACGTGGGCCTCCTTTTAGACAGGTTGGCTCTTTGGCCTCTGCTGGAGCAAACACGCGGCGCCTGGAGAACCTTCCACGCAGAGGTGTGGGGCACTCAGGCTAGCAGCTAGCATCTGTTGAGAGTGGGCGATGCTTGCAGCTGCTGGCCCAGAAAGCAACTGGAAGAGGCCCCCAATCCCAATGCCGACGCTGAGGTCAACTCCGTCTTGCACGAGACTTCCACCGAGGAGATCTGATCGGAGCCGGCAGCTACGGTGCGGTCCGTTCGGTTGTTGGCCCGTGTGTCCACAGAGACTCCGAATGGGCCCCCTGCATGGCAGGCTGTGTCTTCGCAGCACGGCGAAGGACGACGGGGGAGATCATGGCGGTCAAGGCCAAGCCGCCAAGCCCCTGAACAATGGTCTCGAAAGCTGTCGCCGTCGCGACTTCAGCAGGAGATGCTCTTGGACCGGGCTGGGATCACGAAAGAAGAGCGCAGCGAGCGGTCGCGCACACAGCTTGACAGTGTCCGGCAGTATTGCGGTACTGCGTCGTGCCAAAGAGGAGCAGACTGAAACAGCAGCTGCAGCAGCTGCTAAGCTTCTGCTAGGCTCGTGAAGCTGACCCGCGAGCTGCGGCTCTGCGAGCAGCCGTCGCCTCGGAGAGGGGGGGGTGTGGTGCGGCGGCCTTGGCCGAAAGGCCCTGCCGTGCACCGCAGCGCACTGCAGGCTCGAGCACCCCTTTATCGTGAGCTACTTTGGCCACGAGTTCGTCATGGGAGCTCAGGGCGGCCATGGCCTCGGTGCTTTCAGGGCGATGGCCCTCAGAGACAGATCGTCGAAGCAGCCGAGGCCCCGAGAAGTTGCACCTCTTCCTTGAGTACTGCAGTGGCGGAAGCCTCGCTGCGCACTGCCGTCCTGCTTTCTGAAATCGCAAGGGGGCACTTCGTACAAGTGTCTCCGCTTGCCAGGCAGCTCCGTACCTACGGGCCCGTTAGTGAGGAGCTGCTGAGGACGGGATGCCTTCCCCCAAATTGCCAAACCGAGACCCCGAAGCGATCCCAAAGTGCGCCGCTTTGCTCGCGAGGAAGTATACGCAACAGCTGGTCGGTGGCCTGATGTATCTGCACTCTCGGAGCCCACCCGTCGTCCACTGCGACCTGAAATGCCCCTCGGCTGCAACGGCGGCATTTTGGAAGCAGAGGCTGGCGGCTGGCAAGACCGAAGACCAGTACGAAGCATTTGGAAGCCAAGGCGCCAACGTGTTGCTAACGCACAGCGGGGACGCCAGGACCACAGGCAACAGACAGAAAGATCGCGAGCTGCATCAAGCACTGAAGCCAAGCCACTGCCCAACCAAGAGTAGGGCTAGATTCTGTCGCAAGTTGACTGCCAGCTACATGGGACAAATTGCTGGTTTAGGCATTTTTTTCAGGAATCCTTGCACGTTCGGGATCACTGCTGCTTGAGGTTAAGATCGCAGACTTCGGCTGCTCCAGGCCCGAAGTGTTCCTGCCAAGAGCTTCAGT